AAAAGCATGAATGGCCATTGGGGGTGCAACTATTAGTCTCTCCCTGTTCGGTCAAAAAAAAGAGTGATGAAAATAGAAGACACTTGGAAGCAAATAATCCAGTGGACAAATGGACCATATGAATATCATCAGTCTCCATGGTCCTGAGACCAAAAGAACCAGATGGGGGTCCAGCTACCACTGCTAATTGCTCTGAAAGGGGGATCACATTAGAAAGTCCTGGGTGAAGTGAAAGAAAATGTGGAACAAAATTTAAAGCCATGAAAAGACAAGTCTTACTGGTCAGATAGAATCCTAAGACTATGAACCTTGGCCACCTTCAGGTCTGGCACTGGCTCAGTTTTCAGCCAAGCAATGGATAGGTTCATAGGGAAACACCACTAATGAGGTACATACACCATGGCATAGTCAGTCAACCATTTGAGATATAAAGGGCCACATTTACCTGCAGACAAAATTCAGAAGGGATGGGAAAGAAGGAGTGGAAACCAGAAACTCAGGAAGAGGTGGGGTAAGGGGATGCCACATTGAGGGAACAGCAATCATTGAACTGAAATGAAGTGTATGATTTGTTGGTTGTAAAATGGATGATTTGCTCTATAAACCTTCACTCAGTTCACAACAAAAAGTTAAAACAAAAACAAAAGTTGGTGGTAAAAAGAGAATGCCAATGAAAATCCCTGGTAAACTAGAAAGTAGTATCCAGCTATAAGGGTGTCTTTTGAGTCCTGGTGTGGCACTGTAAGATAAGCAGTACATCAAAAGGTCAGTTTGAACTGCACGGTTGGTGGTTCAAATCCACCAGCTGCTCCTTGGAAAACCTATACAGAATCCCAAAGAGTTGGAACCGATTCTATGGCACTAAACAACAATAACAACAAAGGTGTCTTTTATCATTAATAATGAGCTCTAGTAGTGTAGTGGTTACGAATCGGGCTGCGAACTGCAAGGTCAGAAGTTCGAAACTATCAGCTGTTCCATGGGAGAAAGATGAGGCTTTCTGCTCCCAGAAAGATTTACAGCCTCGGAAACCCTGTACAGGGTCGCTATGAGTCGGAACTGACTCCACAGCACATAACCAGCCAATCAGCCCTGATGGCATAGTGATTAAGCATTTGGCTGCTGACCAAAAGATTGGCAGTTCTAACCTAGCAGGCACTCGGCAGGAGAAAGACAAGAGTCTACTTCTGTAAAGATTGCATACTTGGAAACCATCTGGGACAACTCTACTCTGTCCTATAAATTTGCTATGAGTTGAGATTGATTTTTGATGGCAGTGGGTTTAGTTTTTTTCTTTTGTTGGATGTAGTAGCTTAAAAGAGGGAATGAATCTTTACAGCAAGGATCATTCCCACCCCCTCTGTACGCACAGTTGACAGGGATGAACAACTTAGACATTGGCTACCAGAAATTGGGTGGGGGAGGGCAACAAAGGTACAAAGTGACTGGCTTACAAGTTTCAAGAGGGAGCTTAGTTTCAGAGGGTGCGGGGAAAGGTAGAATCTCCACTGAGTGGTTTCCAACCTGTCTAGGTGGGGCTGGTGAAAGGAGATTGGGATAAGACTCTTTTGGTTCAATAGTGAATAATTGCTATTAGAACTGATTGTGAATGTTGAAAATGCAAAGGTAGACATTTTGTAACAAAAGGAAGGGAGTGGTTGATCTTGCAGTCCAGGAGCGGAGGACTCTGGGACCATCAAGTTAGAAGAGCAGATTATGGGACCCTATCCAGAGAAGCAGTGATGCCAGAGATGGAGGCAGAGACGATGATGTGGAGAGATGGAGGAGGTGGGGACTCTAAACTCAAGGAGTGGGAGAGGGGTTATGTGCAGGCGGCCTGGGGACTGGCGTGCAGGGTTTGGTTGTTTGAATGGTTGTATATTCCTGAGTGCTTCGCTGTACATAAAACAACAACAACCAACAAAAAACCCAGGGATTGGAAGCAAATGCTGTTGAATGATGATGCATGGAAGGTATTGAAATCATTGCAATGAAACGAAATACTATAGGATGAATTTAAAGCTGATGCTCTCCCATGTAAACAATCACTCAATTCACAAAACTTATTAAAAAAAAAAAGTTTTGAAGAATTAACACAAAACACCATACATGAAAATATATTAAAAGTAAAGAATAATAATTTTAAAATGCACCTGGTACATTGATGTATGTTTTGCTGTCTGTTTCCATAACAACAAAATAAATAAAATAATATGAATGAATGCTAATTTAAAACCGTAGAATTTTATTGAACATTTATGATGGGCAAACATACATTTTAGAAAATCAGACTGCCCAAATGTGAAAGAGATGTTTAGAAAAGGGCACTCTTGAGAATAATATTACCTTTCTGGAGGGCAGTTGGGCAATATTTTGAAAAGCCCTCAACTTCCACATATCCTTTGACTCAGAACTTATATTTCCAGAACCTTGTCCCTGGAAAAGCATTGATGATTTGTGTAAAGATTTAGGTTCCAGAATCTTAGTTATCTTTTTTTTTTTAAGTTTTTTATTGTGAATTGAGTGATGATTTACATGGGAGAACATCAGTTTTATACTCCTTGTTTCATTGCAATAATTACAATCCCCTTTGTGCATCATCATTCAACAGTATTTGCTTCTATTCTCTCTGTTTTGTTTTTGTGTGTGTGTGTTTTGTTGTTGTTGTTTTGGGCGGGGGTTGTACCCCATAAAACGCAGGAATATATAATCATTTAAATAACCAAAGGGCACCTTCTGCAAGCCTGCTTCCTGGCCACCAGCAAACAGTCTTTCTCTTTCCATGAGTCTGGAGTCCTCATCTGCTCTCTCTCTCCATGTCTTCATCTCTGCCTCCATCTCTGGTGTCTCTACTTCTCTGGAGAGTGTCTCACATTCCACTCATACTCTCTTGATGGTCCTAGGGTCCTCTGTTCCTGGAATGTAAGATTAATTACTCCCTCGTTTATGTTACAAAACTTCTGCCTTTACAGTTGTAACAGTTGCAATTAGTCATGATAACAACTACTCACCATTGAATGTAAAGAATCTCATCTCCATTTCCTTTCACCAGACCCGTCTAGACACTAGGAAAACCATTCAGTGGGGATTTTACCTTCCCCTGTATAATGTGAAACTAAACTCCCTCTTGAAAACTTGTAAGCCAGTCACTTTTTTCCTTTATATACCCTACCCCCCAATTTTACGTAGCCGATGTCTAAGTTGCCCTTCCCTGTCACCCCTGTGTACAGAGGTGTAGGATGAAGACTTCTTTCCTCTCAGTTGGTTTTCTTTTTTTAAAATAAAAACTATTTTTAAAGTTTTTATAATGAGCATTGTTAAAATTGTATGGATGCCGTATTTAACCTCTTTTGACTTCACAAGGGGGAACTCAACATCAGTTAAGGTGGATTCCTAGGAGGTAGAGGTCAGACATGTCTCCATCCTCCAACCTTCTTTACCAAGTCTGACACCAGTTGTTCCTCTCACTACACTCTGCTGCTCTGCTGGGTTCAGTAATGCATTGCAGTGGCCACACAGAACTCACAGACAATACTCATGATTATAGGGTTTATGGGAAGTTAATAGGATCAGAAGTGCTCAGGATACAGGTCTTCTGGTAAGTTGTACAAGAACATCTCTCTTGTTCTTGACCTTTTTCCACATGGGCCCTTGGCCTCTGCCCTGCTCAGGAAACCTTGCAAAGCTTCTTTAGTGTTTACAATAAATACCCAAAGGAGACATCATCCTGATGTAAGCCTCGCCTGGAAGGTGCTCAGTTCTACTTCCTTGGGTAGGCAAACCTATCCTGCAATTAATTTCCTGGAGGCACCTCACTCCTCAAGTGAGCTCCCTGTCCAAAAGCACTCAGCTTTACTCACTCCATGGGCCTGGAAGCCTGCTGCTCTGTCTTGTGCTCTGGCTCTTGTTGGCTGTTACCACCCCACCCCCACTCCTCTGAAGTACATCTGGCATCACAGTTCTAGCTCCTGAATCAAATAAGCTTAGTACTCAGGGATTTCAGGGTCTAAAGGACAGTCCTCTTCTGGATCTTCTTTCTTGATGGTAGGTAGCCCCTATCTGCTTCTGAGATGGCTCATTTTAAGCCTAGTAGGATAACAAAAATTGACAATCCTTTATGGGTAGTTCAATCCAGTCATTTGGTGTGAGTTACAAAGACTATGACTAGAAGAGTCAAGCAATTCACAGCACCACAAGCATTTATTAATAAGAGAAAACAATATAAAAGAATCTATTGCCTTTTCTGTATCTATTTTCTTACATTACAAATTTTATATGCCAAAAATAGATTTTGAAAATTAAATAAAATTTTTGTCAACCATCAATTTTAATCCTCTGGAAATATCTGGTGGGACATATTGATAATTTAGTAAAAACAAAAACAAGCAAACAAAAAAACCTTGAGTCATCAAGACATATACCAACATTTTTAAAGCTATTATGACAGTTCCCTAGGACATTCCCTCAGAATTTATTTGCTCTTGTTTTAGATGGATTTCATTAAGTTAGATTGTCTACTTCTTATCCTACAGGCAGTTGTTGTTCTTGTTAAGTGCCATCGAGTCATTTCAGACTCATAGTGACTCTATATAGGGTTTCCAAATTTGTAAATATTTATTGGAACAGAGAGCCTCACCGTTCTCCTATGGAGCAGTTGGTGAGGTTAAACCACGTACCTTGTGGTGAGCAGCCCAGTGCTTACCTTACAGTGCCACCAGGACTCCTTCCTAAATATGATAAGCTTAACTTATCTGCACAAACTATCTGGGTGGAAGAGTGATCAGGACAGTTGAGATAAACCTCTGTGTAGACCACCATTGTGGAGGTCTCAGCTGAATCACACAACTATAGATTTGGTGGTGAGCTAACAGAACCATGAAGACATGGGATGACTCCCATGAGAGAGCCAAATAGGATCTGATCTTGTGAGATTCTGCTCAATTTTCCTTTGGCCCATCTTATTGGGTGATGTGTGTGTGGTCCTTCTTCTCTGCCCCCAGGACTGCCCTCCGGATGCAGAGGATTTCAGAGCCCAGCAGTGTTCTGCTTACAATGATGTCCACTACCAAGGACGCTACTATGAATGGCTTCCAAGATACAACGATCCTACCTCCCCATGTGCACTCAAGTGCCATGCTCGGGGACATAACTTGGTAGTGGAACTTGCCCCCAAGGTACTGGATGGAACTCGTTGCAATGCAGATTCCCTGGACATGTGCATCAGTGGCATCTGTCAGGTAAGCCACATCTGCTTCTGGTGCCCCAGGTTCAAAGATTGCTGTGCCCATTCTTAATAAAGAGAATCTGTTTCTTCTGGACTTCTCCTTGCAATGATGAAATATTATCTTTGATAATTATAATATAAAAATATTTTAGGGACTGTTATCAGGCCTTATAAGTCAGGGCTTATAAATTCTATTTGTTTAAAATAGTGTATGTTTTACTTGGTTCCCATGGATGGAAGAAATGATTTGTAGCCAGCTGGTAATTATAAAGTTGGCAGTTTGAAGCTACTTGGTGAAACTGTAGAAGAAGGCCAGGTAATCTACTTCTGTAAAGATTAAGTCAAGAAAATGATGTGAAGCAGTTGTACTCTACAACACAAGTGAGGTTGTCATGAGTTGGAATGTACTAGAAGGCAATGGGTACAGGGACATTTTACCAGTGTCACAATTTCTTGTGGTTCCTTTAGACCATTGCTTCTACAACTTAAAAGTGCTTTACAGCCAACTGAAGAGCTTATTTGAAAAATGTTGGGTCTCAGTCTCAAAGTTTCTGATTCTGTAGGTCTGAGGTAAGGTCAAGAACTGCATTTTGAACAAGTTCCAAGGTCTTTCTGATGCTTTTGGTCTAGGCACTGTACTTTGAGAACATTTACTCTGGAAGGAAAATACTTGATAGGCTCTCTGAGATTCCATAACTAAATTTAATTCATCTGTGGGTCTTTGGAAAAGAATACTGACTTATTTACTGAAAAATTAGTATGAATTCATTCCAGCACATTTTTCAGAGTGTATTTCTAGAGCAATGAATGAGGTATAAATCCCAATGGCTTGTAATGGGTGTGGAGGATACAGAGGAATTACGACAGATGCTGAAGACTCTGGGAATGGGAGGAAAGGGTTAGGATTGCACTTCCATTGTATTCATCGCTGAAAAAAATTTAAATGAGCAAACATTCTATTATTCTACCTACCCTATTCTTTTTTTCCCCCCAGAGTTATGTATTTATTTATTTTATTGTGAATTGAGTGAAAGTTTACGTGGCACATCATTAGTTTTACATTCAACAAAACATATTTGTCACATTGCAATGATTACAATCTCCTCCATGGACTATCACCAGTATTTACCTATTCCCACTTTTCTTTTTCTTTTTTAAATTTTTTATTGTGAATTGAGTGATAGTTTACATGGGGGAACATCATTTTTATACTCATTGTTTCATTACAATGATTACAATCTCCTCTGTGTATCATCATTCAACAGTATTTGCTTCTATTCCCTCCAAGTTTTTTGTTTGTTTGTTTGTTTGTTTATTTGTTTTTTGTGGGAATGTACACAAAAACACTCAGGAATATATAATCATTTAAATAACCAAAGGGCACATTCTTCAAGTCTACGTCCTGGCTGCCAGCACTTACTACGTAAGTATAGGTCAAGTTCATCAAACTGTAGCAACTTACACTTGTTTCCTTTATAAAAAAAAAAAAAATTTGTTTTTAAATCTTCCTCTAGTCGAGTTCTGATCAAGCCATCAAAGTTAGTTCAAGCGTGCCTACCCTATTCTTAAAGTCATAATTGAAACAGCAGTAACAACAGCAAATAACCACCAACAGAGTACCAGGAACTATCAGCTGTCTCAAACTTGTTGTTATTGTTAAGTGCTGTTCAGTTGGTTCTGACTCATAACAACCCTGTATAGGACTTCTGAGGAGCACACCTTGTGGTTCTCTGTCCAGTGCTTATCCTACAACTCCACACACTCAAAAGGAAAGCTTGATCTTATTCCTTAAATCAGTGTCTCCTTTTTCTGTCCCTACTCTAATAAATGAAGTTCTGGTATGATGCTGTAGGGTAAGCACTGGACTGCTAACCACAAGGTGAGTAGTTCAAACACATCAGTCGCTTCTTGGAAACCTTATAAAGTATCGCTATGAGTTGGAACAAACTCTACAGAACTTAACAACAGCAACTCTATAGTAAATGGTCAGTTGTTCATCTGATCATTTGATTCATTCTTGATTCTTCTCTCAACCCAAACATTACATCCATTGCCTAGTTATCCTCCAGTGAATCCATCACCACTGACTTGTTTCCTAATCAAACCCCCATCACTCCATATACAATATGTTTACAGCCTCTTTCTGTTCTCCCAGCTTCTACCATTGTCCCATGAAACCCATTCTCCACACAGCAACCAAAGTGATGAAATTAAACTGTAAGTCAGAGCTTGTTCCTCCTCACTTCAGAACCCCTCAAGGACTTTTCACAGCCTTGATGGTGAAATCTAGGATCCTTGCCTGCCTTTTCAGGCTCTCCTGGCATACTTCCCTCTTCACATTGTGTTTCCATGTCTTCCAAAGTGCCAGATTCTTCCCTTCTGTGAAGGCTATTTCAGCTGCCCTTTACTCATGCTACCAGTTACCCTTATTCATTGTTACAGTGTCAGTTCTCATCACTTCCTTAAAAGGCCTTCTGTGATTCATTCACCTAAATTAGGGTTTTTGGTTCTATTTTAATACCCTTGTATCATACATGCACAAGACCTTTTGAAAGTGTTGAAAAGCAAGGATGTCAACTCCAAGACTAGGGTGCCCCTGACCCAAGCCATGGTATTTTCAGTAACCTCATATGCATACGAAAGCTGGACAGTGAATAAGGAAGACCGTAGAAGAATTGATGCTTTTCAGTTATGATGTTGGAGGAGAATATTGAAAGTGCCATGGGCTGCCAAAAGAACCAACAGATGTGTGTTGGAAGAAGTTCAGCCAGAGTGCTCCTTGGAGGCCAGGATGGCCACACTTTGTCTCTCATACTTCACACATATTGTCAGGAGGGGTCAGTCACTAGAGAGGGATATCATGTTTGGTAAGGTGGAGGGTCAGAGGAAAAGAGGAAGACCCCCAGTGGGATGGATTGGCCAAGTGGCAGCATCAATGGGCTCAAGCATGGCAACAATTGTGAGATTGGCCCAGGATTGGTCGTGTTTTGTTCTGTTGTGCATAAGGTTGCTGTGAGTCTGTACTGACTTGATGGCACCTAACAACAACAACATCATACTATTATTTCTATGGCTACTTGATTTATGCCTGTCTCCCACACCAGATTGTAAATTCTTCAAGGACTAGAATCATGTGTGTGTTGCTCATTGCCATATCCCAGAATTTCTATGGTACCTGGCCCCATAGATACTCCTCAGCGAAAACTGGTTGAACAAATGAATTCTATCTACTGTGAATGCAGAGGCTGTTCAGTTCTGGCTTTTATTTCTTTTGCAACCTCTGGTTTTGAATTTTCAAATGCTAACTTGGTGTCTCTTAAGAGACCCCACAGATTCTTCCACTTCAATATGTCTTCTAAATAAACTGGCACCATCCTACAAAGTAGATGTAGAGTTAACAGTGAAAAAGCAAATGGAGTAAAGCTCGTGGGAGAAAAGCCCACGGGACCTTCATTTGCTGATGGGGCACAACTCAAAACGAAGAGAAACAGCTGTAAACATCCATTGAAAATCAGAACATGGAGTATACGAAGTACAAATCTGGAAAAAATGGAGGTTGTCAAAAATGAAATGGAACGCATAAACATTGATATCTTAGGCATTAGTGAGCTGAAATGGACTGGTCTCAGCCATTTTGAATCTGAAAACAACATGGTTTACTATGTTGGGAATGGCAAATTGAAGAGGAATGGTGTTGCATTCATCATCAAAAAGAAAATATCCAGATCAGTCATGAGGTACAACACTGTCTATGATAGGACAATATCCATGCGCCTACAGGGAAGCCCTGTTAATACCACTATTATTCAAATTTTACACACCAACCGCTAAAGCCAGTGAGGATGAAATAGAAGAATTTACCAACTTCTTCAATTTGAAATCAATCAAAAATGCAACCAAGATGTATTGATCATTACTGGTAATTGGAATGCAAAGGTTGGGAACAAAGAGGAAGGATCAGTAGTTGGAAAATATGGCCTTGTTGATAGAAATGATTCTGGAGAACGCATGATAGAATTTTGCAAAACCAATGATCTGTTCATTTTAAATACCTTCTTTAGACAACATAAGAGACAATTATACACATGGACCCTACCAGATGGAATTCATGGAAATAAAATTGACTATATCTGTGGAAAGAGACGATGGAAGAGAGCTCCATATCATCAGTCAAAACAAGGCCAGGGG